TTGTTTTAATCACAAGTTAATACTTTTCAGAAATTAATTTAGATAGCATACTGAAAATGTGTTAATAGTTATTTAAAAAATTGAGTGTTCTTATAGCCATTCTGAACGACCATACCGTTGTGGTTATAACATAGCATTGCTAATAATGTATATAGGGAAAATAGATGTAATTTCGGCACAAATTCCCATAATTTGGGCCCATACATAAATTCAACAATCAACCAAATTTTCAATATCGACCAAAGATATCCAATAGTACCGTCCCAATGACGCGATCATCTAGATAAAATTAATAAATAGCAGGTTTTTAGCGATGGGCCCAATCTTAGATCCATAGGCCAACATTAGAGCCATTTCTCCTATCTATATCTTTTTCGGTACCATGGAGTCCGCAAAGTAAAATCGAAAAAAGAGCAGCAAAATGAAGCACATGCAATTTCGACAAGGGAGTGATGCTCGTTAATAAAATATCTGAAGATGGGCCTGCCTATTTTCCGCACTGGTGTTACGTTTTTATAACAGAGTTCAGTTATAACCCCTTCGGATACGGTTGTGTTTTAAGTTTGCTCTCTGTTTTGTGCGTGCGTTCGCTTTTGTAGTTTTCGGCTGCTTTTTGCGCTGGCACTCTGCCTCCCGAACGGGTATAAGTGTGTGATTGGTGGTTTTCTCGCTTTCTGGGAAGTTTTAGAATCGAGAAAGAAAACGTGATTCATCATAAAACAGCAAAAAAGGTTATCTTCCATTTAATTCCACTTAATTAATTTTGGTATCCATGACAGATACGTATTCCAACTACACTCAAGTAACAAATCTAGAGCTACTTGGCTATATTCAAAATTTATGAAGGTTTTATTGCAGCTGCAACCATTAGCTACAGCTTTATGACGGTCATATACAATGCAAGTCATGAAACATTCTTATAGCTATCTACAAAACCCCTATAAAGCTAATGAAAAATCCAACTGATGCTTATGCTATTTTAACTTATGAAAGGTTTTATGACTGCTTTGAAGTATAAAAAAAGTAATATGAATTGCCCTTATAAAACCCAAAAATAAATCCTTTTGTTGCTTTGTAAGTAAGCGCAATAAAACTAGTTGGCCATGAAACAGTTATTTTAAAACAATTCTAAGCATTCAGTTGCATCTTGTCAGAAATGTAAATAGGCGGTTTATTTTTACAACATAGAAAAGAATCAAAACTTTCCGGTTCTTCCAAGCGAAGCGCAAAGAAAATCAACAAAATTGTTAGCATGAGCATGAAAACATTTCGTGTATACGTATACGCGACGTAGTGTGCGTAAGAAAAACGTCAGCAATCTCTATAATTCTTCCGGTCTCGCTCGCATATACATGGGATGACACTGTCGAATCTTGGTCGAAATACATGGAATGGTGACAGTCCTAGGACAAAAAGGTTGAAATCACGCATAACTTTTCATAAAGGTTAATGTACCATTCAAAACTTTTCCAAATGTTTGTAAAATTCATTGGTTGCACCCGTAGAATAGGAATATACATTTGCCCTCAAATAAAAAAAATGAATTCAAGCTGAGCATTGCATTAGGTCCTAAGTAACATTGACAGATTCTCTTCGTCGACTTTCTCTTTGCATCTCCACGGACATGTAAAGACATTCCCAGGTATTTTCAGCACATAAATCGATAAAAGAAGCTTTTATCTAGCATCCAATACGACAAACACATCAAGAAACGGTTCTGTGAATAAGTTATTAACGAAAAAAAAGTCGACGAAGAGAATCGATCAATGTTACTTGGGACCTAATGCAAAGTTCAGCTTGAGTTGCTCTTGTAAAAAGAAAATAGTTCTCGTAATAAAATCATGCATTATGCTTTTCTGTTCTGCTTTCATCCTATGCACACTGGGCCAGGAATGCAACTTAGCGGAGCAAAATTAATAACTCCGAAACAAAGCATTTCCGCGACTTGGTGTCTTGGGCAAAATTTCTCATCATAATAAGCACCATCTAGCGATTTGGAAACTTGATGTCTTCGGCAAAGTTGTTTATCTTGACAAAATGAACAGCTCTTTCACAGACGTAAAATTCCCACAGTCTACTGGTTCCAAGTTATATGGAGTTAAAGAAAAAATATCGAAAATATGGTTTTTTCTTCCTGTTTCGTTTTTTTTGCTTACAACCATATAATGTTATATTTTTCTCTAATGCAAATGCATTAAATATATATTTTTTGTGAAGATGTCCGTGCCCAAAATCGACACACGTATTTTAGGGCAAACGTAAGGGTTGACCTTAATGTGTAATGGCTGTGAAGTTTTAACGTTTTAAGAAGAGTTGTTTATTTTATCAAGATAAACAACTTTGCCAAAGTCATGAAGTCTTCGAAACACAAGTTCAATGCATTAATAAAAGTTGTAGAAATAAAATCATGTTCCGCTAAAATGAAGAAATCAAAAAAAAAAAACACCAAAATATACCTTTGTCAAATTTTGATATTTTGTTTATCGAGTTTTGCTTAATTTTTGCTGAAAATGTCAGGTTGCAATTTTTTGCGCTTTGAGAGATATTAAAGTTCAAAAATTGTTTTTTTTTCTTTTCGTTTTTTCAACAATATCTTTGAAATTTGAAGCTTAATCCAGTATGTTTTTTCACAAAAGCTATTTATTTAATGTATTTGCATAAGAGAAAAATATAACATTATAAAGTTTAAGCAAAAAACCGAAACAGTAAGAAAAAACCATATGTTTGACATTTTTTTCTTTAACTCCATATAACTTGGAACCAATAGACTGTGGAAATTTAACGTCTTTGAAGAGCTGTTCATTTTGTCAAGATAAACAACTTTGCCCAAGACATCAAGTCTACAAAACGTCAGAGAAAGAAGTTAGATTGTGGCACCATCTTTGCGGAAGAGTTTTGAACTGTTTGTTTATGTCAATAGATGGTCCTTATTATGATGAGAAATTTTGCCGAAAACACCAAGTCGCGGAAATGCCTCGTTTCGGAGTTATTAATTTTGCTCTGCTAGGTTGCATTCCTGAACCCAGTGTGCAATGTAAGCATTAGACATTTTAAGAAATTGCGCTTGGTGTTTTTCTTGCCGGCTGTCCTCTGTCGCCATATTATCATTATGAAAATGCCATTAGCCTTGTAATAAAATCCAAGAAATTTCAATAAAATAATGACTAAATAAGAGATCCGAAATGATTTCCAGTGTGCATTGGTATGAATTTATGTATTGAGATCTATTTTCTGTAAAATTAAGGTGATTCCATCAAATTCATTTGATTTTTGGAACAATATTTTTTGTTAACTTGAATTATTTTGGAGGCGCATTTATTTAACGCTCAAATTATCTCAACAAACACGATAACATTTCAAACGCATATGTTTTGGAAGTTCTAAAAAGTCATATATTTTCTTTAAAATTTTCACTAATGTCGCCATGAAACAAAATTGATTGCATGGTGATCTTGACACCAACACTCAAACCTATTTTTACCGCAAAAGATTTCCATTTGGAAAAATCAACTCATGAACCGGGAACCAACGGCTTTACTTCCCTTCCTAAGGAAAGCGTGATCTGAGATGTTATGCCTCAGAAATTCCCGGCAGCGCCGACTGGGATTGAACCCAGGCCTGCTGGGACGCTTACCACTACACTACGGGCGCCGCTGCTCTTCAGAGTTGGAATCTTGTAACCAAACTTGGAAGCAGGGGATACTCTAGGGGAAATGTCGGATTCGGCAATACCTTAACCTATTATCGTCAGGGGGTAAAAACAAAGTTGGAGGGTGGTGTACAAGGCACGACCGCATTGTTGACGATTTTCTGTTGATTTTCTAGTCTGTACTCTGTATTTAACGGTTCGAACATTTTCGAAGATGACGTGCAGCAGGAGAATGCATACGATAAGGGTTTCTCAGTTTATGAAAGTGAAACGGAATAAATTTATCCCACCGTTAAGACTACAAATAGAACACAATTTATTTCCCTAACAAATTATTTGATTTTTGTATCATTTTGATGTATTTAGTGACAAATTGAATGCATGAATCATGGGTTACTCTCTATAAATTCTGTTACACTAAAAGAAACGACAAATGTATTGTTTCAGTGTAGACGGTAATTGTTAGGAGTTGTGGAGAGTTTGACCGTCAAGAGCGGAAACAGAGAGGAGACTAGGAAGAGAAAAATGATAAAAGTAAGAGTACTCGCGCGGTGAAGATGTGTTTTCTTTTCAATAAAAATAAAGATTAAATTACAGTCCATTTGCCTTTCTCCAGTGAGTATCCGAAGAACATTTTGGTCCTTCGAGCCGGATGTCGGATTAGTGGATGAAAAGACTTTATATTTTCGGTTCGTGAGTGAAACGAAAAAGATTTGACGCGAATTTCGGCGGTTGCGACGGCCGAATTGAATCCGATTGCAAGCATTGCGTCGGATAATATTTTACAATAAGTGCGGTTGTTGGAAATTGAATACTGTGCCTGGTTGTTAGTGGCTGAAGAAATAATCCGGCGACTTGCGAGTTCCGGACAAATGCTGCTGCTAACCAAGAGGCAGAATAGAAAAATGGAGGTCTAACCTCAAAAAAGAAGATTTCCAAGTGTGATGTTTTTGCGCTCTGGAAGAGTGAAAAGATCGTTGTTCCCGTCGACGCCATTTCTAACACCATCCCGTGGAGACAGTGTGCTACGTAGTGTGCGTGAGCAGAAAGACGAGCTTGAAAATCGGCAGAAAAAGAAAAAGATGGCGGAAAGTGTAGATGCGCTGAATCAGTGCTGCCAGGCGACACAGACGAAAGTGGAGCGAATTAGATCAGCAATTTTGGCTGCCGGTACAGATCACAACAAGTTCACCCATCATGCCTTGAAGCTGTACATGAAGACGGTTGATTCTGCCTATGAGGAGTACAACAACTTCCAGAACCGTATTTACCTCACGGATCCACTGAGGAGGGCGGAATTCGGCTAGAATTTGAAGAGCTGTACGAGTTTGTTCGAATTTCATTGAGTCAGATGATCCAGCATTTCGAGGACATGGAAAAGGCCGTTGCAGATGTGGCAGCTTTGGAGCGCAAGAGGCAACTTTTCGCCATGAAGTTTGCGAGTAGTGCAGTGGTAGTGGACGGACATGCTGGTACCAGTGGCGCACAGCAACGAATGCCACCATCACTGTTACTGCAACAAACACCGTTGCCAACTTTTGACGGTCGTACCGAACAGTGGCATAAGTTCAAGGCCAGATACTGCGATATTGTTGACCGCTCTACACAAGATTCCCCAGCGACGAAGCTCCATTATTTGGACAAGGCGTTGGTCGGAGAAGCGAAAGGGGCAATCGACGAACAGACTTTAAACGATAACAATTACGAAGGCGCTTGGAGAATTTTGATCGAACGGTATGAGAATCTCCCGATGGTGATTCATGGCCACGTCACGAATTTGCTGAACCTCAAACCGATGGCCAGAGAGTCGTCCCTGGAATTACGGACGTTGATCGACGACTGCACGAAGCGTGTGGAGTCCCTGGAATTCCACAAACTCAAGATGGATAAAATGGCAGAGGCCATTGTAATCACGTTGCTGACGTCGAAATTGGATCCGAGTACCCGTAGAAGCTGGGAGGCATCTTGTGAACACGGTAAGCTACCAATATTCAAGGATACGATCGCATTCCTTCGAAAGCACTCTCACGTTCTCGAGCGATGTGAGCAAAATGTCATAGTCACGAAAAATAAAGTTGCGACGTTCAGAACTCAGACGCCTTCTGTAACTAGTAAGACGCATACTGTGATGGTTGCGAAGGCGAACGATGGATGCCCCGTGTGTGGAACTGCTCATTCAATCGAAGCATGCGGACCATTCAAGAAGCTGAGTGTTAATGAGCGGTACACAAAGGCGAAGCAGCTGGGATTGTGCTTTGGTTGCCTACAACGAGGACATCGAACGACAACCTGTAAGACCAGTAAAGTGTGCCCAACTTGCACGAAGAAGCACCATGTGTTGATGCACCCAGAGGAGAAGTCTGTTGCGCCCGAAACTACACAACCGCCTGCGACAGGACTTGAGAAGAACTCCACTCAACCATTGATTGCAGCGAAGTGCACGATTCCGATCGAGCCAATGCAGACGAAACAGATTTTGTTGGCGACAGCTGTGGTGATGGTGTACGATTCCAGTGGGGAAGCGCACAAGTGTCGTATGCTACTTGATTCCGGAGCGATGGCGAACTTCATGTCAACTAGAATGGTGGAATTGCTGCGACTGCAAAAGGAGAGTGCAAATGTCTCGATAGATGGAGTAAACGGGATGAAGACCCTAGTGAAATACAAAGTGCATGCTAAAATGGAGTCCAGAACAACCAAATTCGAATCGTCGCTAGATTGCCTGGTTGTCCCTAGAGTGACCGGTGCATTGCCAGCATTGAAGATCGACCTACAGAGCTGGCACATTCCCGAGTCGGTGTTGTTAGCTGATCCATACTTTTATGAACCAGGTCGGATTGACATGCTAGTCGGAGCGGAGTTGTTTTTCGAAGTGCTAGAAGAGGGTAAGATTAGGTTGTCCCCAAATTTACCATTGCTGCAGGAGAGTCAACTCGGTTGGCTTGTTTCTGGCCCGGTAGCTGAAACTGCGGTGATAGACACTGTGAAGGTGTGTCATGCTGGGACTTCGGATACAGCCGACGAACAACTGTGTGAAATGATGAAGCAGTTTTGGACCATCGATGAGTTTGGAGGTGATGCGTCACTTTCGTCAGACAATGAATGCGAGTTGAACTTCCTGGAGAGTCATTGCAGAACCAAGGAGGGCCGCTATGTGGTAAAATTTCCATTCCGTGAAACCGTTGGAAAACTCGGGGAGTCCCGGAAACAAGCAATGCAGCGATTTATGGCGTTAGAGCGTCGCTTGGACAGACATCTGGATTTGAAACAGATGTACGTGGAATTTATCAACGAGTATCTGGCGCTGGGTCACTGCCGAGTTGTGCCGAGTGCTGAGTGCGAGAATCCTGAGTTTGCCTACTACCTTCCACACCATTGCGTGATGAAGCCCGCAAGCTCTACCACGAAATTGAGAGTGGTGTTTGATGCTTCAGCGAAAAGTAGTACAGATTTGTCGCTGAACGATGTGATGGAGATAGGGCCAACGGTTCAAGAGTCGCTGTTTAACATTCTACTAAGATTTCGCTGGTACAAGTTCGTTTTCACTGCCGACGTCTTGAAAATGTATCGGCAGGTCATGGTTGACAAGGCTCATCGGAAGTACCAGTGGATTCTGTGGAGAGACAGTAAGGAGCAGCCAATCAAGGAGTTGGAGTTGAACACGGTGACTTACGGAACAGCTGCTGCACCTTTTCTTGCAACCCGAGCGATTCTTCAATTGGCCAGAGACGAGCAAAGCACATTTCCAGCCGCAAGTGAAGTAGTTGAAAAATGTTTCTACGTCGATGACGTTATGACTGGTGCTGATACACTTGACGACGCAAGACAGCTCCAGAAGGATTTGATTGCACTGCTGCATAGAGGAGGATTTCAGCTTCACAAATGGTGTGCGAACGACGAGGCGTTACTGGAAGACATTCCTATATACGCTCAGGAGAAGCAGCTGGACTTCAACGACAGCGAAGTCAACGGAGTAATTAAGACACTTGGAATATTGTGGGATCCCTTTGGAGATGAATTTATGTTTCACGTGAACCCAGTAAGCGACTGCTCTGAAATTCCAACGAAGAAAATGGTGCTATCTGAAATGTCAAAACTGTTTGACCCCCTCGGCCTACTAGCACCAACAATACTCATCGCCAAACTTGTCATGCAGCAGCTATGGCAACACAATGTGGGATGGAATGATCCGATTCCGAAAGAACAGCTTCGAACTTGGAACCGATTCAGATCCGAGCTTTGTTGCTTGAATTCCTTGCGGATCAAACGGCGGATAACTGTTGATGACACAATTACTTTGGAGTTGCACGGGTTCGCTGATGCTTCCAAGGTAGCGTACGGGTGTTGCATTTACATTAGAAGCGTGAAGAGTGATGGGGGACAGCAGAAATTCAGCTGATTTGCGGCAAGTCGAGGGTCGCCCCGATAAAAGAGATACAACGAGACATCAAGGTGGATGCAACGCCTGACGAGATGACGATCCCGAGGCTTGAGCTATGTGCTGCGTTGCTGCTAGCTGAACAAATGGAAAAAGTGCGCGAAACCTTAGCATTAACAACCACAAAGGTTGTGCTTTGGTCGGATTCGAAAATCGTGTTGAGCTGGTTGAAGCAAATGAAGTCAGGTACTCCCGTGTTCGTTAAAAACCACGTAATGAAGATTAGAAAGCTGTTTACATCCACCAAGTGGCATTACATCTCGACGCAACATAACCCTGCGGATTTGGTGTCCCGTGGAGTCTTCCCGGCAGATCTAATGCGTTGTGAACAATGGTGGTCTGGTCCATGTGTGCTTCCTATTGCCGTCGAGGAGGAAGGTGAACTTGAGTTGGTGGAACCGGAAGAGGCTGAGCAGGTGTCTCTCCATCAAATTGCAGCAGTTGCCGTACCGCAGGAACTGATTGCTGGAATTGCACCGGAAAAACAGCGTGACCCGTATGACGTAATCCTGAACCACAGCAGTTATCGCAAGTTGCAGCGTATTTTTGCGTACGTTACCCGTTTCATTCATAACTGCAGCTTGAAGGGTAACAAGACTAAACGTAGAACAGGAGAGCTTTGCAATGAAGATTACAACGAGGCACAGAGAGCGATGGTGATCATTATGCAGCAGGTGGTCTTCAAAGTTGAAATCGGTTGCATTCAGACAAGGCAAGCAGTCAAGGGGAAGCTGCGAAACTTGAATCTGCTGAGAGTTGGCGGTCGCATACGGAACTCTGACTTACCCAAAGATCAGAAGCACCCGATGATTTTGCCTGAAAATAACCACTTTACAGAGATCCTCGTCGAAGCCTTGCATCGAGAGCATCTTCATGTTGGATTAAATGGACTCCTCGCAGTGGTTCGACAAAGGTACTGGCCAGTGAATGCAAAACGAACCATCCATCGGGTTTTGAAGAAATGTGTACGCTGCTTCCGGATGAACCCCAGAGACATACAGCAGTATATGGGAGACCTCCCGAGTTGTCGAGTTACTGCAGCCCAACCTTTTGCAAGAACCGGAATGGACTATGCGGGACCCTTTTTTATTAAGGTCGGACGAATGAGAGCAAAGGTGAAGGTGTACGTATGTCTGTTTGTTTGTATGGCCACCAAATCCATTCACCTCGAACTGGTGAGTTCATTGACAACTGATGGATTCTTGGCGGCGCTCCACCGGTTTGTTGGTCGACGTGGAAATCCAGCGGAATTGTTCTCCGATAACGGAACAAATTTCCGAGGAGCAGATCGAGAGCTTTTGGAGTTATTTAATTTACTGCAGTCGCAGATTTTGAGCGACAAGGTGAACGAGTTCTGCCAGCCGAGAGGAAAAAATTGGAATTTTAATCCCCCCAAGGCACCTCATCACGGAGGGATTTGTGAGGCCAACGTGAAATGTATGAAGTCTCATCTGCACAAGACTTTGAACGAGAGTTACCTGACATACGAAGAGCTGAATACTTTGCTGATACAGATAGAGAGCATATTGAATTCAAGACCACTTGTACAGCTGACACTTCTTAGTTGGACGAGAATTAATAGCAGTAGCAGAACCGCTTTACGAGGACCTGAAGGAAACGAGTCTGTCGCGGTATCAGCTGGTGCAGAAACGGATGCAGCATTTTTGGCAGAGGTGGTCAAATGAGTACGTGACAGGACTACAGAAGCGTAGCAAATGGTACAAGGATCCCACACAACTGCAGAATGGGCTGCTGGTGGTCTTGAAGGAGGATAACATGCCACCTAAAACATGGAAACTGGGTCGCATCATCGAAACGCATCCAGGAAAGGACGGGATTATACGTGTGGTCACAATCCGCACAAGCAACAACACGTACAAGCGACCGACGACACAGATTGCAGTTCTACCAATCGATGACTGCATGGATCAAGTGGAATCCAAGGCGAAGTGAGGCCCTTGCCTCACCGGGGGCAGGATGTTACACTAAAAGAAACGACAAATGTATTGTTTCAGTGTAGACGGTAATTGTTAGGAGTTGTGGAGAGTTTGACCGTCAAGAGCGGAAACAGAGAGGAGACTAGGAAGAGAAAAATGATAAAAGTAAGAGTACTCGCGCGGTGAAGATGTGTTTTATTTTCAATAAAAATAAAGATTAGATTACAGTCCATTTGCCTTTCTCCAGTGAGTATCCGAAGAACAAATTCTATTCTAACTCTTTTCTGAAATGAACTTGGTGGCCCTGAAAAGGGCCGTTTTGTTTCGCTGGTGATAAGTTTTAACCTCCACAATCATATCTTATCGGTAGCATTGGTGCTCAACACGGAAAACAAGATCGACGGAAAACAAACCAAAGGAAAAAATAAATAAATAAATATTAGGAATTTCCTCACTACGCGGCGCATGTTTGCATGTTTACTACAGTGCTTTTCATAGTGATAAGACCACTAATGCATTTCACGTTACTGGAAAGGAGGACAAATTTGAGCTTATTTCTTAGAGATTTGAATAGATTTTTCTCCTTTATTTTCCTTAAATCTTTGATTAATATTAGTTAGGTAGGTTCCGATTCTACACTTTGTAGTTTCATTTGTATACCAGTGATCATGTCATTTTAACCTAGGGGATGAGTACTTAGTGGGGTTAGGTTTTTGATAAGTCTTTAGTGGGAATGACACTGATGAAGACTGCACATTGTAGTCGAAATACGTATCTGTCATGGATATTAAATGGAAGATTACCTTTTTTTGCTGTTTTATTTAAGCATTCCGCTAACAACCTAATTTCATTACTTCAAAATCTTAAGGACCTATGAAATTTAATTAATCTGGATAGTAATATTTTTTTTAATAACGGATTCTAAAAACTAATATAAATATTAGGACTTGATTTTTACAGTTCTCAAACTTGAATACAAAATTGAAGATTGTGGATTACGTTACATTCATGGATATACAAAAATTTAATAGTGTAAAATTTCGATGGAAAAATCTAGTCTACCCAACTGCGCCGAATCGAATTTAATAAACGTGCGCCCTTAATCCACTGTTAATCCATCTCAAACGAACAGCAACAAATTATCCGTCATCATAACATAACCTCGTACACGAAACACATTTCGCCATCTGTAACACTACCTTGCGCAGTGATCTTGATCTCCAAAGGGCTACCGATTCACTTGTGGGTCACGTTCATTGGTCTTTATCTCTGTTTCTACACTTCTGCAGGCAAAACTTCTCAAGTTGCTCCGCCGCCGACTCTAAGCAACATGCATCCTGACGTGTAGTACCACCCGGACCGGACAGGTTGCTGCAACATAGAAGAAATGGGTCCATAACTCATCACCCCTGAAGACACTCAACATCTCCCAGTACTAGGGCAACGCAACGGCAACAGTTAGCAGTCCTCCGACGACGGCGGGCTGAGATGCGATTAATTTTAGTCATATTTTTGAGCCCACCGCGCGTGCAACCTCGGAAACTGACCGGCTGAAAAACGAGACGCATGAGGATGAAACAACGCGCTCATCTCAAAATGAACCGACCTGATGATGCAGAGAGGGTGGAGGGGTGCGCACTTGAGAGCGTTAATGAAATACTACTAGCTAACGAAGGTAGCCGCTACTTTGCTACACACTTACGGCTGCCATAAAGTGCCATAAATTCATAAAGCAGAGCGACCGACCGACCAAACCCACCCCTCCCCGCTAGACCTACCCCACTACCATTCGACTGCCAGTCAGTCTGTTCATGAGCAATAGAAATAAAAGCTTTCTTCTTCAAACACAAGCCCGTCTGCGGATGGCCTGGGAGGATGGAGGATCAGCACCCGTAGCTTGTGGTCCGGGGAGTGTTTGGAAATTTAGCGCTTTGGATCGCACAAAACACATGTTCGAACAATAAGATCTTACGCGTGGTACAACTAATAACAAGCACTCTCCTGGTCGGTTGAAGACGGTACTCGACTGCTCCGAAAAGGAGAGTACTTTGCCAGAGCAAAGGAGGGGACCGACTCTGCTGGGGAAACTGGGTGGCTCAGACACAGGTCGTCGTTTTTCGATGGAGCTACTGTTCAATCAGCGAGCTACAGAGCGATCTCCGCACCGTTTAAGCTCTCCGTATGGGACGGGAAGATTGATGGTGTAATCTCGGTTGCTGTCACAAAGCCGTAGAAGAGCTTGACCACCAGGTGAGTGTTGAAAGGTTAGTGCTCTTTAAATTATGCTAGGTGATTGGAATTACAAAACACGTTTAGGATCTCCGGTGGTGTTGTAACTCGGTGTTGTTCGAAATCAGGTCGACGAGCACCATATGCACCAGAACGACCGGCGGCTCACGACTTGAGCGACTTTTTACAACAAAGAGGTGACCCAGATATTTAAATTTCACTTCACAACTGGAATTCCCTAATCAACTAACCCCAACTGTCCAAAAGCTTGTCATTCTGTTTCGCGTGAAAGTGATCGCCATTATTGGTAATTAGTGCCACCAGAACAAAGAAGCTACAACCATAACGACGAAGGGATACATCACGACTCCTCCGCTTGGGTCTTAATGACATTCTTTCCGTTCCAAATTAATTTGCTCTTCACCAATCAATCCACTCGACTTTCGGAGCATTCACTCACGTGTTGCACTCGACGACGACAATGGCCGCCAGGGGAGCACCTGATTGGTCGCGTGTTGTTGATCGAGAGGGTTCATCCACCAGTTTGTCCTAATTACCCGCGATGGTCCTACAAGCGGATCTAGAGCGCAAAAAAAAAATGTCAAGGAAATATGCTCGGGCGCGTGATTTCTCTAGCGTTTGGACAACTGGTACGATCACTGGATCGAGTTCAGGTTCGCGCGCTGCTTCTAGTAAACAACAACAAGTCGCGAGAAAGTGCACGAACGTAATTTGAATAAACGATGAATTGTTTTTCTCTAAAGGCAGCCTAACCTCCACCCCAGCCAGCAGCAGCAGCGCCATCCCAGCTCAATTGGGTCGTAAAGGGGTTTGTTCTTTGGGGCATCGTCATCGTCGTCGACGACGTCGTGTTCTGCACTCGATGGCGGTCGTATTTTTTTTTTTTTTGATTTATTTTGTTTTCTATGCATGTTCGCGTTCGATGACTTATTTGGACAATCGGTCGATCTTTATGAAAAATAGATGAACTTTTTACTGAGGCTTTGTTGTTTACTGCTACTTCGGCGAAGGCATCCTCTGCAGTGTGGTGGAGAAGGAGGTGGTTTACTGTTTTCGGGGAGGTCCGTTTGGCCGATTTGACCTAACTGTTTTTGGAGTGATGACCGTTTTATTTGTTTACGATACGATTCGGAGCACCCGGGAGAGATGTCATCACGTTGGAAATTTAGTTACCTTAGAGGGATTAGGATTTATTGTTTGCGGAACACGGCTGGTTGCAGCTGTAAGCCTGATGCGGGCAATGGGAATCATTTGATGAAATTAATGTATGTGTATTTCTCGGTTAATATGGTTCGCATCTGATTTAAAATTTATGTCTGTGAACTAAGAAGTTCATTGCTGGCTTCTTATTTCGATCCATATATTGCACACAAAATTAAATAAATAAACTGGATATTCCAATAAGTTCTGAAATACTGAGGAACAATTTTATCATTGGACGATTGCCTATTGGAGGAAGGGACTTGAATGTCTCAAAATATGTCTACTTAATGTATGGATAGTCTCTAAGTGGTTCAGACAATTTTTTATAATTTTGTTGAGAATCTGCACTACGAATATGGACTAAGGGTAAACTTGAGGTAAATTTTTAGAATAGGCAATTCATACGATCTCAAAGATCAAAAATAAAAGATACACAGAGATTAAAGATTATCAAAATACAGGCTCAAAAACCTTATGAAAAGGGTGGAACGAGCAAAAAGTAGTCGTACAAAATTCAAAGTCGTGTAGTAAAATATTGTTGATAAAATAATCTATGTTACGATATTCTGGCAGCTTACTCTCACATTAATCCCTGATATTGTTGAGTTCACTCAATGCTTTTCCAAATACAAATTCACGGATTTTACGGTTGACCCATTCCATTCTGTTTTGCAGAACCTTATTGAAGTGTTTAATTAAGTAATTTGACAGTATTCGCCATTTTGTTTGGATTAATATTCAGACCTTTCTTGAGGTTTCTTGTGATGATTGTTGTATATTTTTTTAATGGGCAAAGTTCCCAAGTAACAATTTTGGTTTTATGAGGGTTCTGTAGACCATGATTTAGACTTGTAGAATGCTTTAAAGCTTGGATAAAACTTGCAATGTTACTTGGGTTTAATGAATTTGGTGGGTTCTGTTACAGCTGCAACATTGTTGATTTTACACAATTTTCACGTAACTTTACCACAATGACAAGGCTAGAATTCAGGCCTATACAGCTAATAGTATCAGTGGTTTCTAATAAAAGGCAATACACATTTGTTCAAACACTCGCTCACGTAAATATTCTGCCAGCTGTCAAAAAAGTATTTGCTCTTCAGCTGCAAATCACCTGCCCGATCAAATAGTTTTCTTGAAAATTTCAACTTATTTTTTTGCTATAGATGTCTTGAACTATTTGTGTTTGGGTTGCAGAAGAACATTCTTGACCAGAAAGCAGTTTAAAATAAGGCTTTACAAAAACAAATTTGAATTTGGCGAATGTGCGTGCAGAATTCTAAAATGCTGTTTCTATTGTTGGAAAACTAAATGCAAAATTCCAAAACCAAAAATAGTTCAAAGCGTCCAACAATCGTAAGAATTTAAAAAAAAAAAATCTCTAAGATCGGAACAAAATTTCAAAGCTACAGTTTTAAGATAATTTTTCTCAAAAGATGTAAAAAGTGGAAAAAATATTATTGTTAAGGATCGAAACAAATTCAGCTGAAAATTATTCAAAAAGAGATTAAAGTTGTCAAAATACTACGTTTCACTGGAACAGTAAGATTTCCTCTTCGGTAC